GGGATCCCTATGGGGCCCTATAGGGATCGAGGTAAATTGCCACCCCTACCAATAACCTGGCATAATTACATGATAACCAAGGAACACGTATTAGATACAACAACATGGCGAGAATTTAAGGACAGTTATGACTAAAACTTCTAACTCTACAAAGGTAGAGATAAAATGAATGTATGCATGCTAGTATAGATGAGTGCATGTATGAATGGGAGCCCATATACATATATGTGTGTGTGTGTGTGTGTGTGCATGCATCTGTAAATGCCTTTATGTACATGCTTATATGTATACACCCATATATGTGTAGTACGCATGTATCAATGCTTGAATGAATACTAGAATAGAAGAATGCAAGGTAAAATGCCTTAGAAATTCAACTACAAAATGGCATTAACAAGGAATCAAGATCAAGTTTAACCAAGTAGTCATAATAAAGAAGCAAGATTTAACCATGAGCTAAGTAATAGGACTCAGATTTAACTTATAAGAAGATTTCAATAATGACAACTATAACAAAGATTCATAAGTAGATATAGCCAGGACATCAAGATCAAGTGTCTTAAGTAATTATAATTAATTAATGAAACAAAACCATAGTTGGGATCAAGATACTTAGAAGGTTAATATCTTAATAATTAAAGAGCAGAGCAGGAATTAGAGTGGACAAATAAAAGAACCATTTCCCTTAAAATAGAACTCTAGAGCACTAGGTATTTTGAAGACTACCCATTTCACATGGTAGTTCATGAAGGCTAAGCAGATCTATAATAGAGTCATTCCTAGAATCAAGTCAAAATCATGGACATCAAGAACATAGAGGTTAGCACTTGCAAGAGACAAGAATTAGGATGCTTCTAAGTTATCTCTAGTAATCGTCACGCCTCCTAAAGAGGTGTTCATATAGAACTCAAAATCCAAAAAATTAACAAGAATATATACATACAAAAAAAGAGACTAGTGTAGAACTCAGAATTTGAGTAGGAAAAAGTTTTAGAACAAAAATAGTTTTCAAGGACAAGTTCAGAAATAGATTTCAAAACCAAGTATCAGTCGATTTTATAGATTAACATATTTCAGGCTAACTTCAAGAACTGGTTCCAATTAGAATGCAAGAAGCAATTTTAAGCTAGTATCAAGATAACAAGAATTCCACCAGTCATAATTTATTTTTGGATATCAATACTCAAGAACAAGAACCAAAGCAATCTTAAGAACATTTTTAAGAATAGATTTCAAGGGGTCTAACAAGCAATTCCAACAAGTATCAATAATTCCTTCAATTAATTCATATTCAATTAATGAATCCTAGTAAGTGTAGATTATCAAGATGGATCAAGTTTTAGAGACTAGAGTTCATAAGCATAGCGAGCAAGAATAATTTCAAGAATCATCACCAAATAAAGGTAGATGACAAGAACTAACAAGATTACCATCTTGTCAAAACGGGTCAAGAAAATTTAAGAAACAAGAATTAGGATTGTCCCTTGTATAATCCCATCACTTCTCTCACCACAATCCCAAAGTTCTTTTTTTTTTTTTTGCCCCATGTATTTCATTAAAACTTATGCTTTGATACCACAAAATCTATCATGCCTCAAAATCAGGAGCGAAACAGACACCAAACACCTATGAGTAGGACCCATAAGCGTACAAGGCTCAAAATCGGTTTAATATACTATCCAATAATCTATATCTTTCAATAGTCCACTAAAATCCATAAAAAGAAATAATTTACATAATCTAAAATCTAATTTCAATCCACTAATAAGTGAACTAGTCAACTGGCACGCCACTCGCCCTTATCCTAAAGACTCAAGTCTAGTTACCTAAAATGGTGGACAAGAAGAAAAATGTAAGATAAATCTTAGTAAGTAAATTATGGGTAGCCACACTTTAATTTAGAAGAAAGCATGATGGATATAGAACATCAAATAGTGCTTCTAGTTTCAATCTTGTAATGCATAATAATAATAATAATAATAAATCTCTTAGTGGTCTCCTTATTTACTCATGGCTAGTGTTTACACCCCCACTAGCAAGACAACAAAAATAACCAATGTTTACACTCCCATTGGTAGGATAGCAAGAATTATTAGTGTTTACACTCCCACTGGCAAGATAACAAGATTAAACAGTGTTTATACTACCATTGACAAGATAATAGGAATTCTCAGTGTTTACACTCCCACTGGCAGGATAACAAAATTGAATAGTGCTTACACTCCCACTGATAGGATAATAGGAATAACAATAAAATTGGAGACAAACAATGTAGGCATTTAAACATGGAACATAATTCAGATTGTTTTAGGCATTTAAACAAGAAAGTGAAAACATAACCCAAATTGTTTCAACAGGTATATCTCAACAGGTATATCTCATAAAAAAAATGCTTAAGTTTTGATAAATAACAATTATAAAACTTAATATCAAAGCATGCCATGCCTATATCAACATAAATCAAGTTAGATCCTACCACCACCTCTCAAAACAGTTCAAAAATATGCTTTTAAAGCCTTAGTTTAGAACCATTGGCAAAATTGAAAATTTACTTACCTCACTTTGTAGAAATTCCTCAAGAACCAAGAATTCAGATATCAAAAATGTTTAAGAACCATAGATTAAAGAAAAATAATAGAGTTAAGGACTGTAAAAAATTTGGACAGTAGAACAGCAAGAACTTGAGGGCAAGTTTTGGTCAAATTCTAAACTGGAACTTCCAATAGAATTTGCATCGAGAAATTGACCAAAATGGGCTAAATTGTTAACAGACCAATGTAGCCCTATGTCTTAACTTTCAACAAGGTCGAGAATCATAGATTAAAGACAAATAATAGAGCTAAGGACTGTAAAAAATTTGGACGCTAGATCAGTAATAACTTGAGGACAAGTTCTGGTCAAATTCTAAACTGGAACTTCCAATAGAATTTGCACTAAGAAATTGACCAAAATGAGCTAAATTGTTAATAGACCAATGTAGCCCTATGTCTTAGCTTTCAATAGGGTCAAGAATCACCTCAATTTGAAATATATAGAGAAATTTATGGCCAGATTACTAACTCACGAGAAAAATAATTAAGAAAATTTGGTTTAAGAAGGGTTTTTGCAAAACGAAGAGAAAAATTAATGAGAAAAATAAGGAACATGTTAAAAAAATTCTTTATTAATTAGGTGATTTAATTAAATTTTAATAAATAATTTATAAAAATTATTGAAGTAGAATATATTATTAATTAAAATAAAAAATATGTTATTATTTTATTAAAAAATATCACTTGAAGATATGGATGGTATATAATATTAATTAATTAATTTTAAAAATTAATTAATTAAAAAATATATTAATACTAAAAACAAATAAGGTAAATGAAAAAAAAACAAAAAAAGCAAAGCTGTGCAAGTGCAATGCCACGCAAGCCAACAACAAACGACATCATGAAATTAGTTAGCGGAGGAGCTGATTTGCACCCAACGTGAGGCTGGAGGGCTTATTTGCCACCTTTTTAGTTTAGGGGATTATCACTAGCTATCAAAAAAGTTGAGGGGCTTAAGAAGGGTTTTTGCAAATTTGGCCCCGGACCCAAACTCAAAATTTCAAAATATTGCCCTTATTAAATGGTTAAAAATTGTGTTCTTGGAAAATTATAAACTGTTGTTCGTAGTTTTATTTATTTAAGAGTATAGATTCATTTATATATAAATTTTATGCAGCACGCACAAAATTTTAATTATTTATTTTTAATGATTGATATTTATTAACATTTATTAAAAGTAATTATTTTTTTTTTCTAAAAAGTTATGATAATGGATCTGGCACTCTTTAAATTTTTAAAATATTAATTCAAGCAATCATCACAACCATTTGCTAATAAAACTTTTTCTAAATGCTTAGTACTACTCCCCTCGAGAATCTATGTACTTTTACGGAAAATGACTTGGAATTTTTATCCAGAAGTCAATTTCCAGATTTCTTAAAAGTCAATTTGAGGAAATGACTAATACTCCCTTCACCCAAGTTTAGTAAACATAATTGTGTTTAAATTTAGGCTTTATTTAATATAATTTTATTTTAGGTTTTTTGTTTTTATTTTTATATATTTAATAACTAGTATTATATTTAAATTAAATTTAATAAAATTTAATTTCTAAATATAGTTATAGTTATTAAATATATGAAATATGAAAAATTCAAAACCAAAACCATATTAAATGGAGTATTAGTTGTTCACTTTTTTTTAATGTTATTTAATATGTTTTTTTTTCCTAATTTATCATTATTTTAAAAAGATAATTACAACATATATTAAATAAGAAGGCTTATTCAAGTAGTTAATAATTAGAAATAAACATGAAATTTTATCAATTAATAATTACATTTTTATTTTATTAAACCAAAAAAAAAACTAAGTTTATTAAAGTTGAACAGAGAGGGTAATATGTTCCACAAAGTTGTAAATGATTTCCATTGATTTATTTTCTAACCAAATATTAAAAAGGGTAATGATATGGATACAACTTTCTTATACAACTTTTTTATACAACTTTTTAAGACAAATTTCACATATAAGTAAAAGTCTATTTGGTATAACAATTAAAATTTAATAGATAGTAGGTAATTGTAGTAGGTGGTGGTAAGCAAATGGTAGATGGCAAAAATCTAGTAGTAAATAGTAAATAGTAGATTTTGATTGATATAATCGTTTGGTTATACAATAATTTGTGGTTGTTGTTTGATGTTAAATAGCTAATAAAAGCATGTTTAAAAGCAATTAAGTTGATTTTACTTTTATATTTTTTATTATTAAAATTATTAATTTTATCAAAATAATAATAAGAAAATTAAAAAATAAAATATAAAAGTGTGAATTGCACACTCATTTTTA